GGCTTTTGCTGTTGATGCTTGCTTGTGTCCGGCTCCTGCTGTTGATGCTTGCTTGCGACCGGCTTTTGCTGTTGGTACTTGCTTGTGCCTGTTTCTTGCTGTTCTGTGCGTGCTTGCTTGTGTCCGGCTCCTGCTGTTGATTCTTGCTTGTGTCCAGCTCCTGCTGTTGATGAGGGCAATGCCGGATCAGATTCGACTTCGCCGGATCAGCGTCAGGGATCAGCGTCTGGGATCAGATTCCTTTCGGCCGGATCAGCGTCGTAGGATCAGATTCTAGCGGGACGGTCGGGATGGTTGGGATGGCCGGGATGGTCGTGATAGCCGGTGCGCAGCCAGTTAGCAACAACAGTTGGAATAGTTTATACTCCGTAGTGGCCTGCAGGACAAAGAAGAGTCACTTGAAGGCCGGTGGCGGTGGCGGTGGTGACGGGGGCGGTCCGTCTTCGTCTTCACCACCGCCACCACCCCCCACCACCGCCACCGCTGCTGCAGCGAACCTTTCAGGCTGCTTGGTTTGGAACAAGTGTTGACTGTTAACGCGTGTTAACACCAAGAGTTGAGGCTTTTAGTTTTAAAGGTTGGACACAATTCCTTTACTTAAACAAGAGAAGGTCTGCGAAGATGAGATCTTCCCGGATACATTTGGAGCTTCACATCCGATGTTTGATATTATTCAGCTTCTTTCCCCTCACCTCACCAAGCTTGTTTGGTGTGCTTTTTACTTTCAAACCAAGGCGGCAATTTTTGTTAAGTTGTTGAGTTAACCCGGTTTAATGCCCGATGTCGGTTTGTGGGAAGCCTGCACATAGGTTCTGGGTGTCGGTCGCCTAGCTCCACAGGTCACGGGTAAGTACAAAGGAAGACGGTTGACCCAATGTATCTCAATGCTCGGAGTTCTTTCTCGAAGATGTGCGATATAAGACCAGGTGTGATGATCGCCGTGCCAACAGACCCTCGGATTTCATCCAAGGACCCGCCTCGGCCTTTGACTCCACCTGTATGCGAGTGGCAGCTTTTTCGGTCTCGAGATTTGGCAATGACTTCAGTACGCTTTTCTTATTTGGTTTCGTCGAAAAGTCCCTGGTTCGTTTCGTTTCGATGCACCGCGCACCAACACACACTGCTGCTGCGTACTGCTAGTGCGCGCGTTCGGTACTTATGCCGGGTAATACTTAGCGTTGCCATGCACCGTGAGCCATGAGCCCCGCTTTCACTCAATGGTGCTAGCCAGCGGTACAACCTAAGGAACACAGATGCAAATCGATAACCTGTAAGGGAGATGACCTGCTAGCGTTGCCATGCACCGTTAAGCCACGCTTGCAGACAATCTGGATTGCCAGCAAGAAAGAAGCGCAGCCAGATAGATAAGCTCGTGCTAGTACTAGAGCGAGGCAGATGTGATTGTTTATCTCTGCGCCACAAATGGAATTACAGAAGAAGCCTTAGCTTAAAGATGCAAGGCCTCTACTTGAAAGAAGCAAAATTCCTTGGGATCAGTATGAACCCGATACAAAGGTGCTTCAATGATCAACAAATCTTGCATCCGATACCACCCACAAAAAGGAACAGATCTGCAGGTCAACGGTGTTCGAGTCAAACTGCGATCAGCCTTCAAATTTAAATTTAACGGAACGAGCAAGTCCATGTGGCGTGAAAACGTGTTGGTGGCCCTCATTCTGTAGTGGAAAATCTCGTCTTGTGAGGCCCTCCAACGTTTCACATGTTTATTCTCACAATGGACAGAAGCCTTCAGAAAACGTGGACACCTTTGTCTTGTCTAGTGCGCTTTGGCTCTTCACGCGTTGGCCCGGTTTTGTTAGATTGCATTGAGAAGCAATGGCGGCGCAACGTGAACTCCAATTCGATCCCCTTGGCCTCACGCAGTGTACCTTGACTGAACACCGACAAGCCATGCTGCTCATGTGTGTGTTTCGCCCTAGCCCATTCAGATGCGCTCAGGTTGTCAGCGGTCTGGAAATTTTGTTGTCATCCCAGGCTGGCCCGAATGCTTAACTTCATTGCTATCTTGTGACTCACGTTGAGTGCCTGTGGGGAACAGGCCCATTCACCCTCGGCTTCCCTTCAGCAGCGGAAAAAGGCAAGGTTTGGCATCCGCATGAAAATATTGCTGTGCCATCATTTCTTCCCATGAGTGTGAACATTTTCCACTTCGATTGCTCGAAGATACGCTTGTGTACTAGCGAGATTGCCAGGCACCTATTTCATCGCTTCAGTGATGGCGAGGGTGCGTCGTGACGTCCGAGATCCCTTCAAGCGTCTCACACCAATGCACTCACGAGTGCCATCCCTTTGCTTCCTGCCTCTTGCTTGAAAAAAATTATGGCATAAATGGCATACTCTTGATTCTTGCTGGCTTGTCTTACTTCTTTGGCCGCTGTGGCCTCATGAGGGCAGAATTGTGGAATGGGGAAGAAGCTGCGTTCACATTGTCCTTGCGAGCGGAGTTGTGAGACCGGACTATTGATTGATCTTGGTTGGAGTTCTCTGGCCGCGCAAAGAAGAACATAGTGCGAAACGCTTGACTTGAACTCCTCATAGCTTTGTGCCACAACTGATCAGGTGATGGGTTGGTTCGAGACATCGTGGCTCGGACGTTGACAGCGTCACACCATTTGCCAAATGATGACTTTGGCGGGCGCTGGCGGCGCATCGGTAGGCTTGCCTTTGAAGGGTTACAGCATACATTTGACAAAACGGCATGTGGCTTTCTAGTAGTCTACATCAGATGAAAATTCAACGCTGTGCCCTGGACAGGCCATCTTGGTATCGGCGATTCCGAGGGAAAGGCGTTTGTTTTGGTATTCTATTCTTAGCGTTGAATCTATAATTTGAATCTCCTGTCTGCGTGAGGCCAAGGGCGTGACCCATTCCCGGCGGATGAGAAGCTACCCAGCTGCAGTCAAACGAGCCTGTTGGGTCTTGGGGCTACAAGGTTTCACTACATGATAGCAACGTTCTAAGGCGAACGCACGATGAGAGCCTCAGCTGCACCACACACACAGCATTATGCAAGAACCTGTCAATCAGAGATTCTCCTAAGGATACAAGCGACTGTGCAGAGGCTTATGCGCCCTTGCTTGAAGACAATTCTTTGTTCTTCATGTGAGTGCTGAATATTGGCTGATCGCCCGAAGGGGAGTTTGCTGTGTTTGGACAGCTGCCGGAGTCACAAAGCGACTGAGGCTGGACAAGAGGAGGATCTACGAAGCTCGGAGGAAGAATCTTGAATCAAAAGAGACAGATCATGTTTAGCTGAGAAGATTTAGATCGGGTGTGGTGCGGCAATGCGCCACAGGTTTGTGTAAAAGTGTCTCGCAATGAAACATATAGATGCACCTTTTGAGTGGAACATGTGCGAGGTCTATCATGTCCAAAAAGCAGAAGAAGCGCAGCGTGGAAGAACTTTATTGGGTGGATGTGCATTTGAAAGCCTTGGCGCATATTGTCCGCAAGGAGGAACGCGACAACCGGTCCGACAACCAGATCCTGGAAGAGTTTGCTGCACTTGCAGCGTCGGAGAGGGAGCAGGCCCTTGGCATTTGCTTTTTTGGCACTGACGTAGTTCTTGCCATGAATGGCATGGTGCTGACCTGATGAACATGCACATGTGTCTGAGGTTCGCACGATGTTCCTTTGCAAAATTCCTCTGCTGGTCGTCGGTCCGTGCAGCCAGAGATGTGACTAGGCCAATTTATGACAGAGAAACAAAAGAAAAAACAACGCCTATGCCTATGATTCGCCTTGTTGATGCGAGCCTGG